AATTTTCACTATTGTTACAATATCTCTATTGTCTTTATGGCCATTATTTGTATTAATTTCTTGATAATTTTGGAAAATAATTTTGATGTATAGAAAAGGGGGTGTTAAAAATCACCACCCCTGGGTATCAAATATATATATATATATATATATATATATATATATATATATATATATATATATATATATATATATATGCCACTGCCCCTATGTAATAGGGATGAGGAGACGGGAAGGTGTTGTTTGGTCCTAACACACTTTCTGTCCTAAGGTGACAATGCTTTTCCTCCATACGTACAGCATGGTGAGGGAATGTTGTCAGGTGAAAATAAAAGTCAAAAATCATGAAACAGAAATCTAATGAAACAGAAATCACTGCTCAAAATATTTAAAGGAACACTTTGAAAACACATCAGATCTTAATGGGGAAAAATAACATGCTGGATATGTTCTGATATAGACTGGGTAATGTGTTAGGAACATAAGGATGCCCCATCGTTTGATGGAAATGAAAATTATCAACCTATATGAATTGTAGGTTGAATTCAAAGACACCCCGAAAAAATTATGCTGCACGCTAGTCAATTTTGCTGAGATTTCATTGCAGCAACTTAAAATGGTACTCAGTAGCTTGTATGGTCCCCATGTGCTTGTATGCATGCCTGACAACGTCGGGGCATGCTCCTAATAAGACGACGGATGGTGTCCTGAGGTATTTCATCCCAGATCTAGACCAGGGCATCACTGAGCTCCTGGACAGTTTGAGGTGCAACCTGGCGGCGTCTGGTGAACCAAAACATGATATTCCAGAGGTGTTCTATTGAATTTAGTTCAGGCGAGCTTGGGTGCCATTCAATGGTATCTATTCCTTCATCCTCCAGGAACTGAATGCATACTCTCGCCGCATGAGACCAGGCATTGTCATGCACCAGGAGGAGCCCAAGACCCACTTCACCAGCATAGGGTCTGACAATGGATCCAAGGATTTCATCCCGATACCTAATGGCAGTCAGAGTGCCATTGTCTAGCCTGTAGTGGTCTGTGCCCTCCATAGATACGCCTCCATAGACCATCACTGGCCCGCCACCAAAACGATCATGCTGAACAATGTTACAGGCATTCACCATGGCTTCTCCAGACCCTTTCATGTCTGTCACATGTGCTCAGGGTGAACCTGCTCTCATCTGTGAAAAGCACAGGGCACCAGTGGTGGACCTGCCAATTCTGGTGTTCAATGGCAAATGCCAATCAAGCTCTATGGTGCCGGGCAGTGAGTATAGGGTCCACTAAAGGACGTCAAGCCCTCAGGCCACCCTCATGAAGTCTGTTTCTGATTGTTTGGTCAGAATCATTCACACAAGTGGCCTGCTGGAGGTCATTTTGTAGGGCTCTGGCAGTGCTCATCCTGTTCCTCCTTGCTCAAGGGAGCAGATACTGGTCCTGCTGATGGGTTAAGGACCTTCTATGGCCCTGTCCAGCTCTCCTAGAGTAACTGCTTGTCGCCTGGAATATCCTCCATGCTCTTGAGACTGTGCTGGGATACACAGCAAAACTTCTGGCAATGGCAGGTATTGATGTGCCATCCTGGAGGAGTTGGACTGCCTGTGCAACCTCTGTAGGGTACAGGTATTGCCTCATGCCACCAGTAGTAACACTGACCCTAGCCATGTGAAAAACAGTCAGAAAAGATGAGTAGGGAAAAAAAAATGTCAGCATTCCTGCCTCCAACCTGTAAAACCATTCAATATCTGTTTTGGGGGGTGTCGTCTCAACGTTGCCCAACTAGTTAATTTCATTAACACTAAAGCAGCTGAAACTGATTAAAAACCCCCTCTGCTACCTAACTGACCAATAGGGTCGGCAAGCCGCGGCTCAATATCCCAGGAGCTTAATGTAGCTTGATGCTATACTTTGATTAAAAAGTGTTCCCTTAATTTTTTTGAGCAGTGCGCAAAATATTTGTTCTTGGGTCTGAATATGCTCTAATGATTGGTAAATAGATATTTTGTCACCATCAGTTTAAAATACACACAATCTTACTTATAACTGCCTATACAAAGGCCACTTACAACCTGCACTGGAGGAATGAAAATAAGAATGTGATTTAATGGTATATGCAATACAAAACATTTTGGTATAACAGGCCCTTTGTTTTCAAAGCTCTATTGTACTAACATCAAATATTTGTATATGGATGCACACCAAAACTATTCACCTTAAAATTATTTAAACTTGCGGGTATCACACAATGTACACAATACAGTACACATGGTTGGTTTGATTTAATTTGGAGCTCCAATATAAGCCTTTGTGCTACATTAAACACACAATTCTTTTTTGGGCTGAATAACACAGGTAGATATCCCTATTTAAAATCCGTTCCGATTCTATTCCAAGAAAAATAGACTTCTATTTACTTTCAATATACAATTTCCTGAATGGTTTGCAGAGACACTACCTGAATGCTGTAGCCACAAGAGGATTCAATTTTACAGCAATAAGTCATGTCCATTAACTTCATCATCTGCTTACTGAAACTTTGGAGTCAATGCCGCTGTGTTCTATATTTAAGTAACCTTTGGCACTCTGGTGCTATATTAGCAATCTTGAAATAAAAAAAAAAAAAAAACCCACAAAGAATAATGTGAATTATTTTTAGTATTTAGAAGATAGCTGTGCCTTGCACATGATATTGTATCTGTGAATGTGAACTCATACCAAAATTATTAGATCTATAATATGTGTGAGAGTAGCGGTCTAACTCCAACGGACTGACAAGCCCCCATAGTCACAGCTACTGCTCTCCAATCAGCTCTTGCTCACTTAACTAAGAACCCTATGCATTCTGTGTAACAAAAATTTAATACAAAAAAACAGAAGACTGGGAAGACTGCAGACCTCAAGCCACAGATTTCATCAACTGAGGTTCTTTTAGGGGGTATGTAAATGTGGCTTAAATGGAAACATTAAAATACACAATTCCTTTAAATACCATCCTTGGGGGCATGCCTTAAACCTGCTTGTGAAGTTGCACACCAGTACAATAAACTCCTGCAAAAGTGGCATTTAGAAAAACAAAAAATATTGATTGTCAAATACATTAGGTACACCACTGCCCCTATGTAATAGGCACAAGGAAGTGTTCTATTGTACTAACACACTTCCTGCCCTAGGGAATCAATGCTTCTCCTTCATAGGTAAAACATGGTGAGTGAGCATTGTATCGAATGGATAAGGATCATTTATTTAATATATTATGTTTATATTGCATACTGATTATTTAATCAATATACTATATGTATATTGCATACTGAAACGTATATGTTTTAATGGTATCTTTTCGTATTTAATTACCTCTGCAACTATCCTCAACGTGCCCTGAAGAAGCTAATTGAGAAACGCAGTGACCTATAAGGACTTATCTCCACAAGGCTATAGATTCTGTAACATTCAAGAACCAAGCTTAATACGCCTTTTTTGTGTGATTGATAAGTAGCAGCGGGTATACATCATACATTAGTAGAAAATCATATTGCATGCAATTGATGTTAACATATGTAACAAATATCTATTGTTTTTCTGAATTGTATGGAATAAAACTCGATGATGGTTTTATATATTGTATTACATGTTCCTCTCTGAGCTAGCAAAGTCCATCTTTATTTTTTCTATTGTATATTGGTATACACTACAGATGTTGCACTGCAGTGGTCCTATTGGCTAAGGATCTAGTTTAAATTTTAAGAGGGATCCCTGGCCAAAAATAGGGTGTGGAGTCTCACATTGAATTACCATATATGGTCAATGACATTCACAGGATCCCTGCTAGTTAGTTTAGTAGAGGTAGTGATACTACCGCTACATGAATGACTTCCAGCTGCAGTAGCTGAAGGTTTTTTAGAACAGGCGATCAAACTGGCCAAATCTGGCCATTTAGTTAGCCAATTCATCGAACTGTTAGCATCCTGGGTTTGGACCAAACACATGATCAACTCAAACCTGAAGCTCATCCCTAAAAAAATAGCCAAGTCTGATCAATTTGACCAATTAGCACCAGTGTTCGATGTCTGGATCATGTTGGAGATAACAGGAGCAATGGTACAAGAACTGTATATGAAAAATGCAGAATCACACGTACAGCACATGATAAATGCCTATTGTCCCCAAATGTTGGCGTTAACCAAACACAACTTAAATATCAACACAGTGCTGTCATGGTGTTGAAATCAGAGCTGAGTGACATAGAAATACAATGCAGTTTGAGAAGAAACAGCAAACAAACCTATAATTTACAATTCACTTTTTTTCTATATTGATAATTTCCAGATAAAAAAAAAAACACATGTATAATATGTATTATTAATGACACAGAACTTTAGAAGAACATTTAAAGTCACTGAGGCGTTACTAGCTGGACTGCATGTCATGTGCACGAGTAATAGTTCTGTAACAATAACTGGCATCATAAATAGAACAACTCATTTACAAGGGATTATCACAGTGTAAATGTTAAACATAAAACATAATGCACATGCTAATATCACAGTATCGATATTATTCACGCATGTTGCAATATTTTACTTTTGTAATACATTATATATACATAATAGACTTATACTGACACAGAGCATATAAAAAGTTAAACATGGTTAAAAACACTTTCCTCTAGAAACTAAAAATAAAATATATACCTAGACAAAAGGACACTAAAAACATTGTGTACTTGGCATTTATATACAAAAGGCAAAGTATGTTGCCGCACTAGTTGCTCTGTAATTTTAGAACACTGTTTGAGTTGCTATGGCACCTGCCTGCTGGAATGTTGCTAATGACACTGATATTACATAGCAAAATAAAATTAGCCAGAACGCATATAGAAAAACCTTAGTAACTGCACAAAAAAGGCAAATCTCACAGCACATGTACATGAAAATAAATGTACATATATATCCAAAAAGGCCCATTTGTCTTTTGGGTAAAAAACATTAAATCGTCTGCATTCACAATTCATCTTCTGACTTGGTAAATGAAGTCATTCGGAATATCTCCAAACAGTTGACAAAAATGAGAGCTCCTGTCAGCTCCCTCCATTGCCTGGTGATGGGATATTTCATCTTGTCCAATGCACAGTGCAGGTCTTGTAGAACGTCTCTGTAGCTCTCTCCATAGTGAGCAGCCCAGGTGTAGAGAAAGTCAAAGGCAGGTTTCCACATCATCTGCAAATATATATATATAAATGAAAATAAGTGTCAAAAGAAACAGGGTCCTCAAATCCCTCTTGTATTGAACTGTATTGTTACTGTATTGTCTCCCGTTATATTGTAAAGCACTGAGCAAACTGTTGGTGCTATATAAATCCTGTATAATAATAATAATAAAAAAACGTAGAGTAAACTTGTCCTTCCCTCCTTTCCCTCCTGCCATCCTTTTCCTTCCTCCATCCATTCCCTCCCTCCCACCTTCTTCCATCCATTCCCCCCCCCCTTTTCTTCCTTTCTTTTTTATTTCCTTCCATTCTTCATTTCCTTCCTTCCTTCCTCCATCCCCTCCCTTCCTTCTTTCCTCCCCTCCTTCCTTTGTTTCCTTCTTCCCTCCCCTCCTTTCCCTCCCTCCCCCTTTCTTCCTCCATCGATTCCCTCCCTGTCCTTCCTCCCTTCCTTTCTTCCTTCCTTCATCCATTCCCTATCTCCCTTTTCTTCCTTCCTTCCTTTCTTCCTTCCTCCATCCCCTTCATTCCCTTCCTCCTTTGCCTGCCTTCTCCCATCCATTCCCTCCATTTCCTTCCTTCCTTTGTTTCCTTCTTCCCTCCCCTCCTTTCCCTCCCTCCCCTTTCTTCCTCTATTCCCTATCTTCCTTCCTTCCTCCATCCCCTTCTTTCCCTTCCTCCTTTGCCTCCCTTCTTCCATCCATTCCCTCCATTTACTTCCTTCCCCAAAATCTCTCTCCCTCCTCTCTTCCTTTTGTCCTACAGCAATAGCATTCATGAGTGCAGCCAAAAAAGTTTAGATTTGTGTCATCAGTCTATGGTAGTAGTTGGTCTCATGCGGGGACATCTAATGTAAGGTGGATTGTGAGAGGGACACATGATATAAGCGGGTACAGGTTCTGTTTATCCATCCCTACTGCCCCCACAAAATCATTGTGAAAAAAAAATACAAAAATAAATTTTAAAAAATAATAAAAAATAGATAATTAAAAATTAAAAAATTCTGGCACCCACTCCATTGCTCTACTGACACCATCCACTGGCCAGCCAAAAGCATTTTGAAAAAATCATAAAAATAGTAAAACATTAAATAGTAAAAAAAATAATAAAATTGTAAAAATAACAACAATAATAATAATAATAATAATAATAATTGTAAAGAACTACTGACGCCATCCACTGCCCTACTGACGCCATCCTGCACATACTACCCACTGCCATACACTACGCACTCCCCACCTTGTACATACTACCTACCGCCATATACTTCACACTGTACATTCCCTATTTAACATTACCACATTCTGCACTACGTAAGTTATCTCAGACATTATTTAACCACACCCCTTTTAAGCCATGTCCACTTTTGATCTTGCACACGGGCCCACTGATTTCATGATACGCCCCTGGATGGACACTTCTATGTTAACATGTAAATAAGGAATCCACTCCAGGAAGAAACAGCAACCATAACTTTCAGGTCACCCTATCTCCTCAATTTAGGGATGTGAAAAAGCAGACATAACCCCTAATTACCTGAATAGTAAAAATATAAAACAGCATGTGATTTCTTTGGTGTACCTGTAAACTGACTTCTCCGCTCTTTCCTTGATGAGGGATTTCATAGGCTTCAATCTGCTGCTTTGTTAGTCTGGCTAGCTTCTCCGCCAGCTCCCTCCAACGTACGCCTAGCTGCACAGCGGCAGTCAGAATCACTGTGTCTTGTGTAAGACGAGCTACTAATGCTTGACAGTCCATCTTTAACAGACCCTACATGCAGAATGTGAAAGTAAATATAATGTCAGCAGAAAGTAAATGGAGCCATAATTAATAGGATTACAGGATTGCAGAGCTGTGCATCATGAACATGTCTAGTAAATAAATACTGATCTCTTTTCGGTGATGTAGAAAATCATGAGTAAAGCTAAAAGAGTGGGGGCAGTGTCATATTCCTACTTTGATTTGCTAACTCCCAATAAGATAACTAGCTTATTTCTCAGTACCTACAGTTGTGCTCAAAAGTTTGCATACCCTGGCAGAAATTGTGAAATTTTGGCATTGATATTGAAAATATGACTGATCATACCAAAAAAATGCTATTTTATTGAAGGATAATGATCATATGAAGCCATTTATTATCAAATAGTTGTTTGGCTTCTTTTTAAATCATAATGATAACAGAAATCACCCAAATGGCCATGATCAAAAGTTTACATACCCTGGAATGTTTGGCCTTGGTACAGACACACAAGATGACACACATGGGTTAAAATGCCAATTAGAGATTAATGTTCCACATCTGTGGCTTTTTAAATTGCAATTAGTGTCAGTGTATAAATAGTCAATGAGTTTGTTAGCTCTTATGTGGAAGCACTGACTAGGCTAGATACTGAGCCATGGGGATCAGAAAAGAACTGCCAAAAGTCCTGCTTAACAAGGTAATGGATCCTTATGGAAATTTCATAATTATATGAAATCACTCAAATGGCCCTGATCAGAAATTTACATACCCTGAAATGTTTACCCTGAGTACAGACACACAGGGTGACACACACAGGTTAAAATGGCAATTAAAGGTCAAATTTTCCACATCTGTGGCTTTTTAAATTGCACTTAGTGTCTGTGTAAAAATAGTCAATGAGTTTGTTAGCTCTCACATGGATGCTTTGAGCAAGCTAGATACTGAGCCACGGGGAGCAGAAAAGAATTGTCAAATAACCTGCCTAACAAGGTAATGGAACTTTATAAAGATGGAAAAGGATATAAATACATATCCAAAGCCTTGAATATGTCAGGTATTGTTCAATCACATATTAAGAAGTGGAAAATTCAGGGATCTCTTCTTGATACCAAGCCAAGGTCAGGTAGACCAAGAAAGATTGCAGCCACAACTGCAAGAAGAATTGTTCAGGATACAAAGTAAAACCAACAGGTAACCTCAGGAGCATTACAGGTTGCTCTGGAAAAAGACAGTGTGGTTGTTTTGAAGAAGCAGAATATGATAATACTTAAATAAAAATGAGCTGCACGGTCGACAGGTGAAAAAGAAGCCTTTACTGTGAGAATGCCTGGTTACAAAATGCATGACAACACCTTGACATGCCTTGCAAATCTTTTTTGGGGCATTGTAAACTTTTTATCAGGGCCATTTGGGTGATTTCTGTTAGAATTACGATTTAAAAAGGAGCCAAACAACTATGTGATAATAAATGGCTTCATATAATCACTATCCTTAAATAAAAGACAGTTTTTAGGCATGATTAGTCATATTTTCAATATCAATGCCAAAATTTTGTGATTTCTGCCAGGGTGTGTAAACTTTTGAGCACAACTGTATACTTACTTTATTTCAAAGAAAACTACACAGGGGAGAATACAAGACCAGTCACCCTGCACAAAGGACAGATGGTAGCACTAACAGGACTGTATTAGTAGAATCTCCTACAAAGAGATAAAGTGCAGGAGTTGTTTCATGCTGGATTACTGCACAGATCAGGAAGAAGTACAAAAGGTAAGCCAGATTCCAAGTAAAAATACACACATGCCTCTCGTATTTAGACAATATTTATTTAGCCCCTTGTTTCTCAATAAAAGAGGGGCCCTAACTGGATCCTGCTCCTTTGTCAGCCTAAGTTCAACATGTCCAAGAATGCAAGCTCTCTAAGTGAACTTGTATGGGGTCCAAAGGGCATATTTACTAATTCACTAAATAAGCTGGAAAGGTTGCAAATATCCAACCAATTGAGCAAACCTCACTTAACCTAACTTTGCAAGGCATGATGACTTACCATAATAAGCTCATAATGAAATTTTCTCTTTTTAGAGTCAGCATGACAATCTTCTTTCAGCTTTTTCACCACGGCAGCAACTCTATCCGACTCTTTTGAAGGAAGAGTGTGAGCGATGTCATCTAGTGACAAATGGGAGCATCCAAGGGCATCAGCTAAGCATCTCCAGTCATAAACTTTGTCTGACACATTTGACAGAACTGATGAGTAGATGTATGTTAATTTTTTAAATGGCAGTGCTATCTGTTCCAAAAGCTTCTTGGTTGAAAAATGAACATCCGAAAAGTCAATGACTTGCTCTTTGGAAATTATTTTTACATTTTTGCAATGAACAAGACCTACTTTCCCCCTTAAAACTCCAACGTACCACTCTTTAATTTTGGTCTGGCCAATAGCCTTAACTTTATCTTCACCAAGAAGTGCAATTGTGTCTCCTTTAAAATATTCCAAGAAGTAGTCAATCTTTTGCTGACGCAGAACAGTCTTTAAAGTCACTGCAAAGTTGTTGATCTTTAACGTTCTATCTTGGAACTTTGGATATTTGATAGTATGGATAGCTGGCAGAACAGGTGTAGACATTATTTCCTTTCGTTTTTGTATACGAGTCTGATTTTTTGGTGTGACCTGTATTTTGGGTGCAGGATTTGGAGTGTCAACTGTAAATTCTGATATAACCGATGCCCTTTTAGAATTGGATCTGAACTGAAAAAACAAATGGGCAAACTTCTTGACCTCCTTCCAATGAAAAGGGAAACTGAGTCCGAACTGTTTTGCCGGTCTTTAACTGTGGTTCTTTGATTTCATTATTATGATCTACTGCTTTAACTGAAAAATTGGAGTCATTTGTATCAAGATTAATAAACATATCTTGCACAGGGTCAAGCAGAAACTGATGTTTTCCCCAGAGCTGGAAAAGTAAAGGTGGCATATTTTTCCCTCGTCTTTTGATGTCATCAACTTTAAGTTTGTCTGGAATATAGTTGTGTCCAAAAACTGCTAAGACTGTAGTGAAGGCTGGATGGATATGTTTGGGCCCATACACTGCCACTGTTACACTTTTATGGATGTAATTATATACAGATCTAGCTGGGCTCTGAGAAGATTTGACTACAGCTGCACTTACAATGTATGTAACATGACTCAGGATAGGTAACTTGATTTGTAGCATGTTATTGTAAATGTAACCATTTGGAATTTTTTCAAATGGGCCATCTTTGTTGTTGCTATAAAAGGTTGCAATCTCTGTCATGACTTGGCTGTATGGATCGGTCCTTACCTCAGCTGCAATTTTCATTTCCAGTAAGAGAGCCTCAACTGTATTGATGTTGCTTAATGTTATTTCCAGAAAAGGACTAACAGTTGTTGACATGTTACTGTTGAGAGATTCTGGTGGATCAAGAAAAGCTTTTAAGGAGATGTCCTGAAACTCACCAGGACTTACATGACCTTCAGGCACATGAATGGTAATGTCGGAATTAGGAAGCTGCACAGAACCACCTTGGTGATCTACTTTGCAGACTATATGTGTGTCTGTAGCTTGTGTTTGTGCCCATCCTGGACTCTGACTTATAATGTCCAAATCAAGACATGATCGTGTTAACTGCCTATGACTCAACCAAGCCATCTTATAGGCTTCCCGGTCATTTTGCAGCCATTCCAAGTCTGGAGCCAGAATCTGGTCATCAATTTTTGGTGCACTGGATTCCTTAGCATCTATGACATCCAAGTAGGAGACACTTTTAGATCTAGCAGATCGGTTGGCTGGTGAACTTTCTAGGAAGTGATCTATATCAAGTTCATCCCCTGAACTTGATATTGAATTGCTCTTTTCTGAATTCCTAAACAGCATTAATGGGTCCTCTTTTAGAATAGACACATTAGTTTTTGAAAATGCATTAGCTTGAACTACATCATCCAAGAAAGGGTTGGATTCAGAAAGTCCATTCCAAAAAGGGTTGGCACCTTTGGTTGTAGTCTGGGCATGGTCATGGAACACATCAGACCAGTCAATAAGAAGATCAAACTCCTTTCCTGTTTTTTCTGTACAATAAAAAAAAACAACAGTTAAATACAGAAAACTTTTTCAAAAATAGAAGTGTATATAAACAATGAACTTCTCTTATTTGGTCCCTTTTGGTCTGTTAAATATACCACTGAAAATTTTTTGTTAGATAAGGGCAAATAAATACCTGTTGATCTAAAAATCTTGCAAGATAAATTTGTGTTCTGCCCATGCTGCAATGTTCTCAGTCACATTGTTTCCATTTATCTCTGTGAACTGCAGAACTCTTCTCCACTATGTTATGGGGAAGAAGAGAGGGAGAGTTGTCTTCTAGTTCTGTCCTAGGATGACAACCCTTCTTCTCCATAGATACAGTATAATTAGTGAGTATTGTTCAATATGGACAGGAAGCCTGAAAAAATAAACTAACACAGTTAATATATCTAAGGACTGTAATCTATATTATATTAGATTTTTGTATTTGGGTTTTAATAAACTTTAACTTCTGTTTTCCTGGCATACTGATATACATATCAAATTGATCTTTATATTGGGCTATACTGTATTTCTGTAGAAGTGATATGTCATACCGTGTATCTCACAAGTTTAAACAAAAATACAGTACATTCCTAAGCACCAAGAGCTATGTACACCAAAAGTAGAATTTCAATATTGAGTGGGCATAGGTGGGTTGAGTCCAGAGCCAAATTAGAACCAAGTTGGGTCTTAGGCATAGAAAGTCTGGGCCTGCTGCTTCAACCCCATAAGCGGACGTTTAAACTCTATGTAAACCCAATCACTAAATCTCATATTCTGTAAGCTTTTCAATATTTTTAAATCTGCAGCTTTATTTAAAGTGACACTTGATGATCCTGCATGAA